GCTGCCCTGAGGCCTCAGAAGCAGAGACTAAGTGCTGTGTTTTGGGGGTTCAAGACCAGGCTCTGGGGGCTGATTTGGGGGCTCAGAAACAGTGTTTTTGCTGCTCAGAACTAGGTCCCTCACACTGGTTGCAGAGCTCAGAAATGGAGACTGTGTGGTGCGTTTCTGGGCCTCTAAAGCAGATTCCTTGGTCTGGTTGGAGAGCTCAGAAATGGAGGCTTGTGTTTTAGTCTCCATTTCCAAGCTCTAAGTAAGTCATCTGTTTTCAGCCCCAAAACAGAGGCCCTGGGGCCTGCAGGGGTGGGTGTCCGTTTAGCACAGGGGTAGGAGGGTGTGGGGCAGGTGGGTGGCTGGGCTGGGAGGGCGGTAGTTGGGCACGTGGACCCTCACTGGAGGTGCGGGTCTATTCAAGGGTGCCATGACAGGAGGGAAGCCCCCATGTGCCAGGCGGAACCTTGGCATCTGACTTGAGGGGGCCCCTAAAGCACCTTTTGCTGTAAATTTTGTCCAGTGTTTGTACAGCTATGGGACTCCTTACTAGGGAGGGACTGTTAAGGAACCGATTATTCAATTAACTGTTAAGGAGCTAATCATTCAGTGTGAATCAAGTAAGTTAAATGAACTAATTAAAGATGACAGTAGGATGCAAGTTGTGGCAGTGATTGATTTACATCCTTGGCAAGGGGGAACATGGCAGGCACAGCAGTGGAGTGGGAGAGAGACACCAGCAGACGACAGCATCTGGTCAGTGCAGCAGTTTATTCAATGTTCAGCCAGCGCTTCCAGCTCAGGGCTATTGCAGCATTAGTCAACAGGCTATACATTCAGTATTCATAAGGTAAATGCATAATCAGGACAAATTGGGAGGGGACACAGGGAAACCCAGGAGTCACCATCACCCAATACTTCCAACCACCCATAAACAAGGTTGTGGTTATCATATGAACAAATTTAACAAGATAAGCAGATAAATTAGATCAATCGATTAACCAGTTCAACAAGGTTTTGTTGTCTTACACACAAAAGTTACGGTACAGTCACACAAACACAGCGTTGGAATCACCATGAAGTCGCTGTGGATCCCCCACGCGCCAGGCTCAACGCACACGAGCCCCGCGGCGCCCCCCACACACCCGGTTCCCCCTGCCCCGA